TGCCATGCCATTCCTCTTGAAATTTCTCAGAAAAGTTAAGTGGCTTATTAATCATGGCTTGTGAGTGGCAGAGAGGATTATATTGAAGTTCCTGTCATTTTTAAATCCTCTACACTAGTGTTTTTCAACTTATCAGCTGCAAACCACTGGAGGGTTGCAGCAAAAATTTTAAAGAATCCTCAAATCCTTGTGTACATATATATTTTTCTTGATCCACAAATCAAAAGATACTATGATTATCACTATTATCATGTAGGCGGTCTAGAAAACTGGTTGACACTTAAAAAGAGTACTCTTCTTACTAAAAATTTGAATAAATAAAAGGAAACCATGGCTCTGTACTTGTGGTTTTCATATTTTGGGGTTTCACAGATCAATATCAGTATCATTCATTATATGTTTTGGAGCTTAAAATTATAGTCTTTCAAACTACATGAATTAAGTTTTATGGAAAACTCACTTCATGGTTCCTCCCTTCAAAATCAGTGAACATGGTATCATGGGCCAGGACTGGTGTGAAAAAAGGCATTTGGGAATCTTGCTTCTTATCTTCCAATGCAAAAGAAAGGAAGAAGAGTGCAATGGACTCCATAAGTTGTTAGGATGGGTTTTATGAAAGGAAACATACATATGAGGATCATTTATCCTTCTCTGGGCTGACTCTTATCTGGCATCACTTGTTGGTGATTACAGTCATCAGCCAACAATTAATTTCAGCTCTGAGAATTGCCATCTCAAAGATTAGTGACAGAAATGGTAGCTCACAAGTAATCCATATTCTTTCCAATTTAGAAATGATTCATCATTATGGGTTATGGAAGACAGAAGAAAAGAGCTTGCATATATTTTGCCCATTCTTCTTAATCTCTTGTCCGCATGGGTTAGCCAGCCAAGGAGTATAATTACCTTAGTTAAAAAAATCAACCTGGCTAAGAAAAAAAATGTGGCAAATACTGACAGATTAGCTGATTCATTCATTCAATAAACATTTGCACAATGCCTATTATGTGCCAGACACTGTGCAAAGGATTCAATGACTAAAAACAAAGAACATCAGCAAAAACAATCCCTGCTATGAAAACACACAGGAAATGTGCCTAATCTAGAATAACAATGAAGAGATACATGGCTTCCCAAAAGAGATAACATCTGAACTAAGTCTAGAAAACTTATAGGGATGAGGCAAAACACTTGTTAGCAGAGTGAACAGCATGTGAAAACATGAAGCTTCTTGACCATCTCTTTTGTCATCTCAAAAATGGCTGATCTTTGTATACATCCACCATCTTGAGATGAAACCAGAACCTGACCTGTCAGGAGGGGTCTTTATTACCTGTCAGGAGGAATGGTTGTCCTGACGTGTTGCCTCATAAGGTCTTTTCTTCTCCGTTAAATGAGTAACATAAACAAGGATAGGACAACAGGGATGGCCCTGCTGCCAAATATTATCATACCTGTGGCCAGGCAAAGGGCCAATGCTAATCACAGCCTCCAGCACCTGCATACCCTCAGCTGGAGGGCTCAGTTCTCAAAGAGAAATTCACATAAGGCCTGTCAGCACCTCACTGTCTGCCTCAGGACAAGGCTATCTAGGAACTTGCCTGAATGTTTCCCACATGCTACAAATCCTGCTTCTCAACATTTACATAGTTATCTGATATTGTAGTCCCAAGCTGAAACACAAAAGAATCCTTCACAACCTGTACTAGGAGGTAGACTGAAATTCAAACACCTCCCAAAACCATTCCCTGCATGCAGAATTTTAATTTCTCAAGCCATTATAAAGTTTGTTACTCGGAAACATTGACTTTAATTTTATTGCTTTATGGACCTTATGCAGCCCCTTTCTGTTTCTGTAGTCTGGAAGAGTGGCCCCAAAGACATACAATTAAATGGCCCCAAAAGACACACAATTCACAGAACCACATAAAATGTACCACAGAGTGTCAAAGCCAAAGTCTGAAACAACTTTCTCTGTAGTAATTTCTACTCTATGTCCCAAATGCCAAGAGATCACTCTCATCTTGTCTTTGTCTTTCCCTTTACCTTGACTCACCATTCAGTTCCTTCTCATCCACAACCTTAGTTCTTTCTCCCTGTGGTGATGTTAGTATCAGCCCTTCTTGGCAAATACCTTTTCACATCACTAACACCTTGAATTTTATCAGGGCTGGCTGCGTAATTTGCAGGGCCCAGGGCAAGATAAATGTGGGCCCCTTGTTCAAAACTTGATAAAAATTTAAAGACAGCAACGGTAAGAGCATTAAACCATGCACAGAACTCTTCTAAGTGTGTGGCCTATGTGACTGCAGAGGCTGAACACCCATGAAGACAGCTCTGATTCTCAGTGGCCAAAATAGGGTCATGTACTCATTCCTTAACCAATCACTGTGAAGTGGGTTGACTAGTTTAGCATTAGACTAAGAACAGCTCCCCTATAGCTGGGCATAAGTTCATCTTCCCCTGAGTTGCATGGTATCTGGTGACAAGGATTCATGAGTAAAACCAGGCTTTTTTTGAGTATAAGTGAGGAAGGCATTGTTGCTGAGTAGCCAACAACATCTACTACATTATATGTCTATGACTAAGAAAAAGGAGGTCTTCTTCAGAAGCTCCCTTTGATGCAAGCTCTGGTTCCCTAGGGCCTTGAAGATCAAATCCTACACTTAAATCTGCCTACTTTTGATTCCCAGGCTCCCATGCACTTCAAACCTCTCCCCTGCTGCCAACCCTTTCTATAGGTACCTGCAGGGGTGAAAAGATGTGATTCCTGTCCTCCTGATGATTATCCTCTAACTAAGGAACCAAGACTAACAGACTATAAAATACACAAAAAACTCAAATAATAGAAAAAATTTAAAGAAAAACGCTACTAATTAAAATCCACATGTTATTGCTGAGAGTTTATGGAAGTATTGGATTTATAAGTGCTGGGTGCAATCCTCACTAGGAGTTCAGAAGGAAATGGAATTTTAAATGGAGTAAGTGGTTAGTGTTGGGTACTATGAAATGAATTTTGGAACAGAAGACTAATATCCATAATCCATAGGGGCAGATTTCTCATACAGCAGGTTGTGATAGAATGGTCTTTTTTAGAGTCAAACAGGTTTGTTTGGCTAGTGCAGACTGCAAAAATCACTTGAAAATGTAATTTTTGGTAAAAGGAAAAAAAGTCATGCAGTAGAAAGCCATTACTAGGAAATTAGATCTAATACAAAAGGCAACAGTACAGTTTCTGAAGATACAAACTATGAATTTTTCATACCTGTGTAAAAATTGAGACCTCTGGTTTTGTTGTTCTCTTCCAAACACTCACTCTTCATTTGGCCCAAACCCTGTTCAGTCCTTAAGACCAGGCTCAGGCTCTATCACTGCCATGAAGCCTTCCTTGAACCTTCCTTGAGCCTTCCTCACTCTAGCATCTCTCAACACAGCTGAAAGGGACTTAAGAAAGAGAATGCTCCTTTTCCATGAGCTCAGTGCTCCTCATGGCCCTGTACTGGAAGATTTATTTAAGCATCTCTCACTCAAGGGATTGTAACTCTTTAATGCCAAGAACTTTACCTTATTCTTCTTCATAACTTCTGTGCCTTGATAACTGATAAAGTCATCTTCCATCAACATAAGTATTCAAGAATGCTTACTGAAAGTGATATGATCAGAATATACATAAAAATAATAACTTTTACTAATCTGTGTATAATGGCAAAAGAATGCTCAGAATAAAAAAGAATAATATTTATAAAAACTAGATATTTTTATACTATTGATGACCTGCAGGAGGTATTAGATTGGATGTAGATGAATATGAGAAGGCTGTCAAAGACCACTTCAGATTCCTTTCCTTGAGATTTGGAATAACATATAATAGAGACTCTTAATTTACTCTCAGTGGAATTGAGACAGTTATTGTAATGACAGGATTTTGCACCCAAGCTTATGAATTCTTCTCCAGCCTCCCCTTCTTCATCTGTCAGTTCCTTTATCTTAGTCTTTTTTCAGAGGTTTTGGTCCCCAGTATTTGAATGTTTACATTTCCATTCTCTGAAAATCTTTAAATATGGACTTTATTCCAGTTATGATATATAGTTAATAAATATTTATGGGGCACTTATGACCAGGCATGAATGAAATTAAGTAAAGTGGAGATTGTTATGAGCTCCTGTATGGCATAATTTGTAAACAGTCACAGCACTGTATGAATGAATCACACAGAACTCCAAATACACCCATATCTACAAACTGCTACTGAGCAAGCAAAGGCAAGGACTCAGAAAGCTAGCAGGAGGCTTCTTCAGTGGTGTTTAAAACATGCTTCTATAGGATGATAGCAAAGCTAAGGGTTTTCCTGATTCTTCTTCACATATAATTTTGCCATTTGGTTTTCCCCTTCATGCTAATGTTCACGTTAATTCCTGCTTGAATTGTGTGTGTGTGTGTGTGTGTGTGTGAGAAAGTGTTACCATCTAAAAAAGAGTATCTCTTCACAAAGTAGTAACAATATGAAGGGACTGGATAGTAAAGTTTCTGACTTCCTTGCTTTCTTTAGTTGTATTTTCTAATAGTGAGGCTTTCTCATTAACTTTTTTCCTCTCTTGACAAACTTAAAACCAGTAAATGATTGCTGAATTCCAACATCATTAGGACACAACTTACCCTTAGTTAAGATTAGACAATATAATAAAAATTTCTAGATTAATTTCATTGTTTTGGATAGACACTTAGTGATAGCAATGAAAAAAAATCCAAGTACTTGGAAAATATGAGAAAAACAAGATTCTAAATCTAATGCCTCTGAGTTACCAGTATAAGGTTAGATCGCCACAGTAAGAGCAAGGCAGTAACACATTTAGGTACGAATATATAATATGTGCAAATTATAATTCTAAATATGTTTCTCATATTTGGAAACTCAAATATGTTTTTCATGTGCTTTCATTTTCAATATGTTTAATTAGTTGTACCTGATTAGAAATTAAAAATAAACTTTAAAGACATACTTTGAATTTCAATGATCTTCTGTAAAGAAACAACAGCATTCATATTCGGGGTTTGGTGGAGAATATCTTCGGCAAGTGGCTCCAGCTGCAAGAACAGTAGATAATAATGAGCAGAATATTATGACTTTATAGTAAGTCTGACAGAAGCAAAGCAAACTGAAACAACTCCCCTCCCCACAAAAAAAAGCTTGCTCGAAGAACTAGTTAATATTTTCATTTTGCTAATAGTAGTTCTAGAAGTGTAGCCAATTTTATTTTCTGTTTTGCAGCCATATAACTGAATTCCAAGGGACTTTTCTATTGGTCACAAAACTAATCTATGAAGTCCCTGAAGCAGGTGCATGTCTGTGTATTATTCATTAAAAATCTGAGTTATTTGTGTAATTTTTGTAGGTTCTTCACAAACCAAATTCCATCATGTCTGTATATGCAGCTGGGCCCTGCAAACAAAACCTCAGGGAAGTTGTAGTAGACAGAAAGTGGGCAGTCTATTATCCATACTTTTGCAGTGTTTTTACATCCAACCACTTCACACTTCTGGACACTTCACAATAGAAAGCCTTGAGACACAGCTGCTTTTATCCAACTGCTATTAAATAAATGGTAGAGAAAATGTTCAAATAAAACCAAAGCTAAATAACTGTATTTTTAGGGGGAAATAACTGCATTTTCATTTAACTTCTACTGTTCTTATAACTAAGCAGATGTCCATGTGGAAACATGGGATAAATTCCTGTCTTGCAAATATATCATGATCTTCTGGAATTACACTGATTTTTCATGGACAAGCTTAGCAAACATTGCTTTGCAAGAAATGAAGAGGAACTTTAAATAATTTATGGAGTGTTTTGGCAGAACTAAATCTGATGCTACATCCTAAGAATACCTTGATGATGTAGCTTGGTGTATAGCACCAGAAACTGCATAGCCAGAACACTTGCAAACAAAATAGCTGTCTAGCTACTGTGACCTAGAAATTAAAGAAAGTAATAGTAACAAAGGTATTAACAAAAAAGGAGTTTTATTAGAAAATTTAAAGTTAATAGTCTCAAAATGATGGTCAAACTATAATATGCCATGAAAAGGAACCAATGTCACTAGACATTATACTGAAATACAAACTCATCTATGTCTCTTCATCTGAAGAAAAAAACCTAAAAACTCAGGAATTCCAAGTTTCCACAACATATGTGAGTGAATCTTCCCCTCAGGGTCTCTCTGAATTGATTATTCTATACTTCAATCATGGAATCTAAAACAATAGCACCTTTCTTCCAGATGCCATAGAATAACCGACTAGCTTAGGGTTATTTATACCTGGGTAAATTCACGAAATAGAACTTTCAAGAGTGTTTTTCTTAGCTGCCAAAGAAAAACCTTTAAAACATCAAAAGGTTATTTGGAATTCAGTTTAGTGAGAGAGAAAAAACGTGTCAGTGCTGTAATCTCAAATCTTAAAATTTTTAAAAATAAGTTTTTAAAAATCTGGTATTTCAGACAGTATCTTCAAGAATATGTTATCCTAGTAATATGCTCTTAACTCAGAGAAACTAATGAATCATAGGCAGAAGGTTACTTGAAAAACTTACTCCAGAATTAGATAGGGTTGAGCTACCTTGCTTATAAATACTCTTTCCTTTCACTCTGTCTCAGAGATTAGAGAAAAATTTTATTAGAAATCAGGTAGATTTTACTAATAAAACATTTTGAAACATCAATGTTCAAATATCTAAGAACAAAAGAACGAGGTGATTTCAGCATATAGCTCTTCAAAAAGCTTTCCTGAGACATTGGAGTAAAAATGCTGACAAATTGAAAGGTGCTGCCTACTGGAAAGGTTCTGAAACTCTCTTGCACTGAGGTTTGTGGGCTATTTTTAAGACCTGGGTTATGCAGAATGTAAATGTGATTTAGGGTGTTGAGATTAAAAATACAAACAATCCTAAACCTCCAATTTGGAATCGTCAGTTGGATATGAAAAAGTTGTGTCTACTTATAAAAGCAACCTAGAAAATTAAAGCAATTACAGTGATAATTTAAATCTCCCAAACCATTTCCCTGCATGTTTTAGGTGAATGTCATTTAGAGGATTTAAACTTCAATAAATTGCCCCAATTTGCTTCATTTTAAGGGTATACACACAGACAGAGATGAATTCAGAAAGTTATCAATGTAGGTTCTTTATTTTTGATTTGGTAGCTCTGCAGAGAAGGTAACAGGTACTACTCTGAATTGGCAAGTAGGCAAATGCCATTTAGAGTCTGTTTTCAAAAAATTAAAACCTTGTATAGAGGGACCACAGAATTGTCTTTTCTAGAGTGTTGATTTAATCATTCACAATTAAAAGCACTAAAAACATCTGATTAAAGCAGCTATTTAACAAATATTTATAAGTATTGGTCATTATTAGTAATCTAATAACTAACTGTAATGAAATAATATTAAATGAATAGTCATTTTTCTTAAATTTGGGACAAAAACTAAGAATATGCAGTAAAGCTGTTAGGTATTTAGTTTGGCTAAGAAGATGTAGCAAAATCATTGGCTATTGAGTCTAATCAATGTTAGTTAAGAGTTATTGAAAGATAAATAAGGATATATTTTATGTAAATCCGAGTACTTTTGTATTTAATACTTATAGGAAGATAAAGCAGATGCAGATGTAGGAAATATCACACACCCATCATGCTATCTTTGTTGAGCATTTCCATCAAGTAATAATAATTATCAGGAAGTAATAAGATTCAAGATAATTTTAACACAACCTCTTGACATATGAAGTTCTCATCCAGCTTTATTAGATCTAAAGCTTAAATTCAACCATTACTTACAGAACTTTATAGGAATTTTCTGACTCAGTGACAGGACATTTATTTTTCTACATTTTTTACACAAAGTGGCAACACCATATTGATGTATTCAGATGTTTGCTAAGTTTTACATATCATGTAATTTCTAAGTATACAGCTATTTTAAAACACCATAAAAAATGTGGCCATTATTGTGTTGTAAATAAGTAATTTTCATATTCTTTGGAATCAGATCATTTAAATAACCAAAGTCATTTTAGTTGCCTAAGATGCATTTATAGAAATGGGCAAGGGTATCCTTGGAGAAGCTCTTGAATAACAATTTTAAAACTCACTCTGTACTCATGAGACATGAAAATCAACTTCATTATTTTCATGATTTGGAACAGAAGAGAACAAAGCTAAATAGAGATTTTGCAAATAGGTACATGAGGATAGATGTATACATTAATCAAGCAAAAGATCTACTAACTACTCTTGTTAGCTTTTATGTTTCCCAAATATGCCAAGTATTTTCACACTTTTATGCCTTTATTTATTCTGTTTCTTCTAAATTTGATTTTCTCTATCCTTATTTGAATTGGTGAAACCTTACTAAATCATCCAAAGACCAACATAAACAATGCCCGCTCTGTGACATCTTTTCTAAAATTCTTTGATAGAGCAAATTGCTTCCACTTCTGTGCTTTCTTTCCACACAAATATTCTTGTTTACTCTACACATTTTATTGTAGTAAGCCACGTCTGTTATTTTCTACTTTGTTGTGAGCCATTTAAAGGCAAAGATAGAGCCTGGGATAGGGTGGGTATTTTAAAAATGTTGAATGAATGAAGGAAAGAGTAATTGAAAGAAAACATGAAGAGGCTGCCTTTATTCTGCCCTCCAGAGCTGAGGCCTAAGTGGAATAGGTTCTTCTCTTGGTTGTCTGCTATAGTCAGGGTATGGTTTAGGGTGAAATACTAGGAAGAACAACAGTGATAATTCATTTTTAAATCAATATAATTGATTTTAATTGATGTTTTGATTTTTGAACTTTAATTGATTTTGAAACTGAGTATCAATTTCTTTAAAACTTACTTATTAATTCCAGTAATGTATATATGAATAATTTTGTACAGACTTTCTACATACACAATTATATCATCTGTAAAAAATAACAGATTTGTTTATTCTTCTCCAGTCTTTATTTTTTTTCTTACCCCATTGCACAGTCTAGGACCACTGTGCAATGTTAAAATGAAGCAGTAAAAGTGAGTATCTTTGCCTTGTTTTTGATTTTAAAGAAAATTTCCCATATTTCACCCTTAAATCTGATGCATACTGTAGAATGTTTGTAGATATCCTTTATCAAATTAATAAATTTTCCTTTTATTCCCAGTTTGCCAAAAGTAGTCATCAAAATTGGGTGTTTAATTTATCAACTGATTTTTAAGCATCTATTGAAATGGTATATTTCTTCATCATTCTCTCAATGTGGCAAATTATAATTACTTATTTTGGAATTTTTTTAAAAGGTTTTATTTATTCATTTGAGAGAAAGAGAGAGGGAGAGAGAGGAAGCCAGAGGGGAGAGGCAGAGGGAGAAGCAAACTCCCCGTTGAGAAAGGAACCCGACTAAGGCTGGATCCTAGGACCCAGAGATCATGACCAGAGCAGAAGGAAGATGCTTAACCATCGGCCACCCAGCTGCTCCTTATTTTGGAAAGTTAATATATTCCTGGCTTAAATACAACTTTGTTATGGGTTTTTAAGATGTTGATGAATGGCTAATATTTTGCTTAGTGTTTTGACTGCTATGCTTATGAGCAAGATTTTCCTATAATATTCCTTTCTTATAATGTTCTTTTAAGTTTGAGATATCATATTATACTGGTCTCAAGAAAACAGCTGTGAAGTGTTCTTCTCATCCTCTCCTCCCTTTACTCCATAACAGTATAAATTATAGAATTCACTGATGAAGCTATGTGGGTCTAGTATTTTCTCTTGGTAAATTTGGCATTCAAGATTCAATTTTGTTAATAATTATAGTGCCATTCAAATTTTCTGTCTTTCTGATTCGGTTTTTGCAAGGTTATATTTTTATAAGAAATTTTCCATTTCAAATAAAATTTCAACTTTTTTTACATAACAATTTTTCTTTAATACATTAAAATTTGTAGTAAGACCCCCCCTTTTCATTTTGAGTACTGGTAAAGCATAACTTTTCTTTGTCAATCAGTCTTGCTAGAGTTCTATCAATTTTGTTAATTATTTCAAAGAACTAAACTTTGACTT